CTTGATATAATCTTTAGGTAATGTCCATTTGCTGTGGATTTTTTTCAAGAACATACGGCACACCGTGTTGAGATACAGCAAATGTTTGGCTAGCACATCTTGTTGGTGCAAAAATGCAATTATATGCCTGTGTTATTACTGTTAATAGATCATTTTTATCACTACCTTGCTTGCTGTTAAAAGTGATTTTTCTGAGAACCCTTGAGTGGTGTCTGTGGCATAATTACTTTAAGGCAATAACTTGATAGTAATGGAAAGATCACGGAGCAAGCCTTTGGTAAATGAACAGGACCACTCACAGAGGAATAAGGAAATGAACGCATACCTCTAATGCAACTTTATTTCAGGCCATATTTTAAGAATATATCATCAATAAAAATAAATAGATAAGCACAACCTTTCAGAATCAAACCCCAGATGTACATGATGTATTTGACATGTCCTTCATTTCCTATTTTCCCTGAACACATCTCATCCTATTCCAGGCAAAATGTTTCTGGACAACCACGGTCAGCGTGCATGTGCTTCCTGTTATATAACAAACGAATATTGTGTGTATTTCGTTTTGATCTTTCGAAGCTCCTGTTTAAAAAATATGCCTGTGTTGCTCCTGATAGATTTCTCATCTGTTTAACAGAGAACACCGATGATGTTAAGTGGAAGAAGAAGTTCCACAGCAAATTAAGTTGAGTGAACAACAGAGTGGAGTAGTGCATGCTTGGAGATTTTATGTTGTTGCCCTTGCGGGGTGTTAGTCTCCTCAGTCTGCTTCCAAGTGGTCCTGTGAGGACTCCTAACTATCATCCTGGCCTAGTGTAGCACGAAACACCTGCTCACTTTGATTTTATGGAACATTTGTGTGTTGAGTACACACTGACGTTAGGACATAACTCATTAGCTGGGTAGTAGCTGCCCACCCTCCATGTGTGGCTCCAAAGACAGAGCCATGCCTCTGGCTGGGATAACTCTATTTGCCCAGGATGGAGCAGTCAGACCTAACCCACATTTTCCTTAAGGGAATTTCTATACACCATCACATGTTCACACCTGGAACAAACAAAATCCTTCACTGCTGCCCACAGGGCAGTGTCCTCCACTTCAGCAGGTTTCTGAAGCAGTGCACATGTTTGGTATTTAGTGGCTCCTTTTATATTTGGCACCAAGGCTTTGGCTGAGCTCTGTTATCTCAGTTTAATTATAGAATACTTTCACAAGGCACTCTAGCTTGTCTTGAAGGGTCAGTTCAAAGCTTTTCTCACTTTCTTTTTTGAGTTCAGCAGAATTGAATGGCTTCTTCATCCATCCATCTTCATCCGCTTTATCCGAGGCCGGGTCGCGGGGGCAGCAGCCTAAGCA